AGCACATCTGGTTGGACGCGCCATTACGGGTCGAAGCTGGACATCACCCCTGAGCCTCAGTCTTCTCATTTGGAAAGTGGGAACAGTGTCTAACCATGCAGTGGTGTTTATAAAAGTTAACTAGTATAATATATATGTAATACATATAACTAATACACTGCGTACACATTTATATATACGTATATGTATATATGTAAATCCCCAGCAAAGCAACAAACGTGAATTATGCTGGTTGTTTATTCATTTTTTTCCCCTTTCTTAATTGATATACATGCAGGAAAGCTCACTAATCTTAAACTCAATAAATTTAAACGAATTCATCTGGATACACCAGATGACAACTGCCCAGGTCAAGATACAGGTCACTTCCAGGACCCCGAAAGCCTCTTGTGTTTCCTTCCCGTCCCAGTCACTCTGTCTCCAAAGCTAATTAATTTTCTGAGCTTTAGCAAAAGAACTAGCAATGCAGTTTTGACTTAAACATATTCGGGTGCTTCATTTTCGAAAATATTGCTGTCCCATCCCCTTGGCATGCTCCTGGAGCTGCTCTTCTCGAAAGGGCCATGTTTTTGCTCTGAGATAGTCATCCTCTCCTGCCCTGGACCCATGATAAAGGGCAATCCATAGTGGGATTTGTGGAAAGGTAGAGCTCTGGACAACACATAGCAGAGCAGAGTAGAGCTGACTGATGGATTCCCACTCCTTACTCTAACTGCTGAGGTCGCCATACGAGGAAAAAGCATGACCTGCTGAGAGGTGCTCACGTGAACAATTGTGGAAAGTCTGTGACCCTTAAATTGTCTGCTGTGCCCACAAGGTGCTCTCTCCAAAAAAACGATCATAAAAATCCCTTGCCTGTAAGTAGGCTTGTTTGCTGTCATGTGACCGTCACCCTGATCGCAACTGATCCATTTAGGATTCTACACTCTGGCCAAAGGCAGATGTATGGAGAGACCCAAGCAAGGCCAGCAGCTAAGGCACACCCTGAACGGATCGCTGTCCCACCTGCCGTTCCCTAAGCAGGCCTGCTCTCCTGGACCCTGTGAACATTATACACGGAGAGAAGGAATAATAAAAGCGTAGGAAGAAGCGGAAGGTGAACCGGCAAATAGAAAAGAGAAGAAGGTGGGTGAGGATTCTCGGCATGATCATCTTTCCCTTTGTCAGCCCAAGCAGCTCAACGGGTACTTGTTTTATGTGCTGAGCTTCCTTGAAATAATCCGTGTACGAGAGACGGGGAGAGAGAGAGAGAGAGAGGGAGGGAGGGAGGGAAGGAGAGATCATCTTTTACCTCTCCCCCAAAAAATAAAAACTCCAGAAATGACTCCTAGTGGATACAAAACGGGTCCGAGCAACACTCAGTTCTGAGCTCTAGCGTGGCGACTGCGCCCCGCTGAATAAGGGCTAATGTTGACTGAGCACTCACCACAGGCCAGCCTCTCGACTAAGAGCTGCATGTGTGCTATCTAACTCTCATAAGACCCCTCTGGGGTGGCTGCTCCTACTGCCCCCTCTTTGTGGGTGTGGAAATGAAGGCGTGGCGTAGTTGGGCGACATGCTCGGTCTCCCGGTTGGAAAGGGGTGATGTTGCTCTGGATTTCTGGTCCCGAAGCCTGAGACCGCCACGCCATTGATCGTCGCGGACTGTTCCTTTCAGAAGGTCACCCACAGGAGATGGATTTTATATCTTGCCTTTTGGCAAATGGCAAACGTAGTCTACACTCCATCGTAGGAAGGATTATAGCAAGAACAGAGATCTCCTCCGCCACCGGAAATGTCTGTTTTATGTCCCTCTTCTAGTTTGAGCAGCCATAGACTTCCTCGCCTAGAAAATCCTTGCCTATGAATGAGAGCTCATTGGTCAGTTGTGGCAGGGACACAAGGCACTGATCATCCCCTTGAATGCAAGAAGGCTCTTCTCTCTAAGGGAAGGCCAAGGTTTTTGCCACCTAAAGACACAGCTATGGGACACGGAAAGGTACAGGACTAGGGGACCCCGTGTACCCTTTCGTGTCAACACAACCAGCCCTGGCATCAGTAGAAGCACAAACGCCCCAGTCAAAGTGTCCTCGTATCCAAATAGGAACCCATTATTTAGAACACAGGGGTCTGCGTAACAGTCCACTTTCGGTGCCCTCCTTGCCATGACATCAACTGGTGAGTCCCCTAGTGGCGTGCTGGTCAGTGTTTACCAACCGACTGCCTTCATTTGTAGCATCTGCCACTTTTCATGGTGTAAATGCCCCCAGCACGGCTGGTTTCAAGCTACTGAGGTGAGGTCACTGCAGAGAGTAGAGAAGAGGTCACCCCACATGCTCGCTTGGGCTACCGCGGCCCTCCTTACTTACTCACGCACTTGGATGGCTTTGCGAAGATTTCCTGACTCGAACTTGGAGGAGAACCGTAACACGCCGGAAGCCGTGTCGGGCCTGTAATGGAACAGGGAACGTGCGAGCCTATGAGTCATTGCTCTTCTTGGGCACGTGTCGACATTTCTGAGATAAGCGTTCTCTTCCCGATCTTTAACCCAAATAGTCATCACGCTGACTTCGGGAGCCGGAATGGATTACCAGCACGAGGCACACTTGTTCCCACGGCACTGTCAGAACTCTCCATGCTCTTTCCACCCCCCACCCCCCTCCGCCGACTCGCAAGACCACCTACCAAGGCTCATCTAAGCTGAAAACGACTTTATTCATAACGTCACCAGGCTGGATGAATCTCCGGATGTCCTCGATTATCTTGATCCTGAAAGAGAAAAATTGGGAACCTTTCGAAGGCTGATTCTCACTCCTTACTCCACTCAGCCTACGGTCACCCGGGAGAGGCCCAGGGAGTCACTGGAGAGATAGGAAAGAGTAGTTAAATAACACCCCGACCTTGAGCTGACAGAGTGCGGAAAGCACTGCCCCCTACCCCACCTTCTCTTCTCAATCAATACATGAAAGGACACTGAGCAGGAGAAAGGTAGGAGGCTGGGATGCTGGATTTTAGTCAGAGGGTTCTGGACTTGAAGGGGAGTTTCGTCAAGAACATCTGAGCCAAGGGGCTTTGGGGGTTTCTGGCTGTGTGAATAAGGGGGTCCTCTGGACAGAGACAGTTTTGAGGGAGATGTTAGGGTTACTGCCTATTAGCAACCTAAGGACGGGGAGGCTCCAACGAGCCTTTGGGCTCTTGCGTTACTTATATCCCTTGAGTGCTGTCTGCTCCAAAAGACTAAGGTCACTCTTCCGAGAAACATTCAGACCTGGGAGATTTAAGTAAGTCCAAGGAAGAAAGCCCAAGGGATCTTCCTGATTTTTCTTCCTGAATTTCTAAGTCAGGTCTCTGGGGTGGGGTGGGGAGGGGGAGGTAGACATGAGGTCTGGACTCAGAGAGAAGACGTTCTCTCCAGGGGGAAGCTAAAGTCTACAGTGTGTCTCTCAGGAGCTGAGCATGGCAAGTAACGTGCAGGGGCTGAGGACAGAGATGTCAGCCAGGAGCCCAAGTGGGAGTGGCTTCTGGGATCCGCCACTGATTTGCTAATGAAATGGAAAATAAGTTAATGAAACTTTCTGGTATGCACACTTTGCTCCATTGGCTTTAGTGCATGCATACTCAATTTTTTTTTTTTCTTCAGAGAAAATGATATTTTTCCCTTGGCTTTAGCAATTTTCATTTTAATCTCACTTTGCTGAGCCAAAGGCAAAGCTCCCGTTCCTGAATTCTGGGAATAATCCATCACCCAGTGCTTCTTCCCTAAAGAATGCATTTTTTTCCCCATATACTCCTCAAGTGATACTGAATATTATTCTCTAAGCCAAGCCAGATTCTATACGGTCAGGAGTGTGGGATGAAGGTTGGCCATCTCCTCTCATTAACAAGAGACCGGATACCCATTTGCAGTGAACAAGAAAGGGGATCGCAAATACTCCACGTTTGTTTTTTCTGAACCTTCCTCTAAGGAATGATACTGGTGTTGGGAGAAACTGGATTACCTCTCTCTGTCATAGTGGCCTGCAGTGGATATGGGGTAAGGCGTAGCATTTGAATCATCTAAAGGATTCTTTTTCAGGAAACGCATGCCTCCTACTCCCCCACAGTGGTTCTGAAATGTCCTAGCACAAAATCAAGCTGGTACGTTTGGCGAAAGTTTCTCGAAAGCCTTTAAAATGCTCCTGACTGATGCTCGCTTTTCTACGGAGAGCGGAACTATTGACCACACCATTCCTCCTACAAAAATGCTAGAGAAGAGGAAGACTACAGGTCTCAAGTCAGCAGCACCATCACCTTTGGATTCCACATTTGCGTTCCAACAGGGGCTGGGGGGAGGAAGACGGACAGTGTCCCCAGAGATCAGGAAATGCCACTGTCTTGAGGTCAGCCACAGATCTGGTTCCTCTGGCTTTGGCCATATACAGGTAGGGGTCATGGAAGGGGACATGCTTGGGATGTGCTTGCAGAAGTTTGTCCATTACTTCAACAGGTCCTCTACATCTCGTGGAATTGGGAAAGGAGGCATTCGTCTTTGGGCATGAGATCGTGTCCATGTCCCAAGCATCCTCTTTGAGAAAAGCCTGAGTGTCGAGGGTTTCATTTCCAGAAGAATCCATCCCAGGACCATTGGACTGCGCGCTTTGGGATGGGTTCATTCCATGTCCTTTTCTGGAGGCGAGATGCCCAGTGGACCTCCCCCACTTCACTGTGCTCAGCAGGGAAGTCTGGACTGCGTCTTCTCTTTCTCGTCCCCGGGAGCTTTGGTCCCTAGTCAAGCAATGCCGCTCTGGGGAGGCATCGGCCGGAATGTGGCGGTGATTGGCATGCTGCATCTCGTCGGGGTTCAAATCGCCTCCAGGATTGCGCTCCAGTTCCTCCAGGTTTAAAGTAGAAAGGACAGGTCAGTGTCCCCTTCCAGGCAAAAAATACAATTTTATCCCTGACCTCACCCTCTGAGCACAGAACTAAGCGTAAATCCTGTGAATGGGGGAGCTTTTCCCATGGTTGGCCAAGGAAAGGCTAAGAGTCAAACAGTTGGTATAATCATAGAAACTCATGTTGAAGAGGCTTTAGGCGAGTCTAATACTACTCTACACAGTACACGATGCCTCTGCAACACCCTCGACAAGTTATAATCTGCTTGAACAACCTCATTTACAGGGTCTTCGCTGCACCCGAAGGTGGTACCTTTTATTTGAGGATCATTGTGATTGCTTTAAAAAGTCTTCTTTACCCTGAACTGAAATTTCCTTCCCTGAAATTTTTACCCACTCATCCCCTTCTGCTTTCTGGAGTGAAACAGAATATAGTGACTGCTTTCTGCACGTGACTTGCCTTGCACCATTAAATGTGGCCAAATTCATGATTTACTAGGAGCAAATAATGGAGATCAACAGGCGGGCATAAAATACCAGTGTCAGTAACAGCAGAAGCAGCAGCAACTAGCCACTGGCTTCACATCACCACATGTAAGGTTCACTTTCTATTTCTACTGGCAAAGCGACCCTGGCGACAGGCTGGTGACCTTTAAAAGCTACCTAGTACAGCTTCCCTACTTTGACAAGGGAACGACTACACCATGAAGAATTTTCACTTGCTTTTTTGGTGCACCTTGTCCACCAGACAGCAGGCAGCCATGTGTACCTTCCTCCTCTTTCCACCCTAGATGTCAGCTTGTGGGACCCTCGCCCGCACCCTCCCTCAGCCACCTTCTGCACATTTTTGATGGGCCTTCTGTTCCTCTCTCAGAAAGCTCCCAGAAGCAGACTGCTAGTGATGAGCGATGCTTTCCACCTGGAAACCTCCTTTTGCCCTCCCAGACCCTGCAGAGAACCTGCCGGGCATCACTAAGGAGCAGCGCCACGGCACACGCCCTACCTCGAAGCTGCAGGAGAGCTCAGGACACATCGCCGCATACTGCATCAGTTCCCCTTCAGGTCGGTCGAGACCAGGTTTGCAACTCAGCTTGTTCACATCTGTTTCCAAGTCATCGTCCTACAATGGAATATTCAAAAGAATCAAAATAAGAAACATATGACAACCGAGAAAGCCACTCTGAAAAAAAATCGAGAGATGCTATGGAGATGATTCTTCACAAACCTGGAACAGGCTTTCCTCGCCTCCAAATTACAGTGTAATGTGCGAAGGATGATTTAATGGGCCTCGTCGTATTTTTAAAATAAAGAAGATATACAACTTTCCCCAGCATTTATATCGGTATGTATCAGCACTCATCATAAATAAATAATTCTTTATATAAAAGAAGATGAACTATGGAAACAATAAAAGGAATACAAAGGAAATTTATCTCGTCACCACCTTCATGAACATAATCGTATTTACCGAACCCATCTGTCTACCTTCCTTCGCCGTTTAGGTCCTTCACAAATGTTTAATGAGCACCTACTATGAGCAGCTACTCTCTTAAGTGATAAAGGTTCAGTGACAATGGGACAGAGGAAGGTCCACGCTCTCGTGCAATCTGCCTTTTCGTGAGAGAAGGAGACAGTGAACAAGAAAATAAACAAACGAATAAGGTAATTTCAAACAGTGATGGGTCCCACAGAAATAATGAAAGCGGGTAAAGTGACTGTGATTGAGACTGGGGTATGAAAGCTGTTCGGATTGGGGGGCCTGAGAAAGCCTCACTGAGGAGGTAACACTTTAACTAGCCCTAAATGACAATAAGGTCCCATTATGCAAACCCTTGGGGAAAGGCGTTACCAGAAGGAGGCACGGCTTAAATGCGCTTACGCTGAGGCACAGAGAGGAAGAGGCGGATCGCAGGAGTCAAGAGTCAACAGGAAGCGCTAGGCCAAGCTTGCCGGCCCCGAGGAGGGGTGCATAACCTCCTGCCAGGTCTGTACCCTCCGTACCCGTCAAAGTTGGCCGAGTCATCACCACAGGTCTTTTCTTTCTTGGGTTGACTATTTAGAGACCCTTTATTTTTGCTTCTATGTTATCATTTCATAATAGTTTAATGGTGAGGGTGACTCTTCCTCCAAACACTTCCATACTTTCCAAAGGTTGGAGAATCTCACAGAGAAAGGTCGGCAGGAACCGAACAGTCCCGTCTCTTCATCTGTCCACGTCTCTCACATATGGAGTTTCCCTAATGAAAGAGAGGGTGGAAAACCCGGCACTTCTGAAGACCTAGAGTATTCTTGCCTCAGTAAAATAAATGCGGAAAATAAATGTCTATGTTCCTGATTCAGGGAAAAAAAGAAAGTGGAATATTCCAACCATTTTCCGCAATTCTCCTCCAAACGTCGAATGAAAAGAAAAATGGATCCCATGAGGCTGACTTAATGATACTTTCACCTACAGTGCACACCAGGCCCAAACGTCTGAGCCTGGTGTTGGAGATTCCAACACTCCTGCTACCTCCGGGTTTATCTCCCAGTTCCTCCTGGCCCCCAACATCTCCCCTAGAGCCGCACCCATTCCCCAGGGTGACACCAATGGAAACGCGACCTGGCCAGCATCGGGACAAGGCAAGGTTGGTGCACCTGGAGTGAGAAGCGCCACGTCGCCCATGAGCTGCGGCCTAACTCATTCTACAGGTGGCCGGGTCACCGACTTAGCTTTAGAGCGCAGGCTGGGAAAATACGGCCCACTGCCTGTTTTTGCAAATAAAGCTTTATTGGAACACGGCCAGGCGCGTTCACTTGTGTGTTGTCTGTGGGTGCTTTCTCAGTACGATGGCAAAGTAGAGTAGTGGTAATGGAAACCATCCCTGGTCTCCAAGCTTTGGATGTTGGTTTCTGAACATCCGGGCCCTCGGGCCATCTGTCACCTCCTTCTGTATCTCTTACCAATACTAGTTATACTTAGTTAGGGACGTGCCAGCTTCTGTGTCCTCACAGCAGCCCAGACAGTCCTTCGCCATCTAGGACTCCGGTGACCATCTAATCCAGAAGCTTTCCGGCCCTTCCTCCTCAAATAGGACACTTCCCAGACTGGCTGTTCCCAGCCTTAGAGTTGCGTTCACCGCCCTTCTGAAGGAGGCGATTTGAACTCTGCTGGGAACGAATCCCCAAGTTCACTACAGTGAACTCTTTCAAGAAGAAAAGTATGACTTATTTGCTTTGGTAGCCACGTTACCAACCCTAAGAACGGTTCATCTCTCCCACGCACGCTGCCTCCTGCATGCGTTACATCCGGGAAAGTACCTGGGAGAGATGAGACGTGAAAGAGGAAGCGAAGAAGGGCGTAAAAGAAGCGAGAGCTTAAATTCACGGAGTTGGTCCAAATCTCACGATTACGTTCATGAAAAAGGAAGGGGAAAAAAAAAAAAAAACATGACCAACATCTAGTCTGTACATGTTGCTAAGTTTCTCTTCTGTTGATAGTCCCAGTTTTAAGCCAAAGATTGCATCCGATTTTCCACTCTGAAGACCCTTCCCAGATAAAAAGCCCCTTTTAACCACTCTGTCTAAGAGACTGGTCCCGATTATTAACTGAGCTTCGCAAATGAAAAGGCCACCAGTTAGAGGCCTGGGTCAGTTGTGACCTGAAACGAATGCTTCGGGCTGCTCGTCCGCACGTCTTGCAGAAAGTCGTGCTGGGTTCACAGAGGAAAACCCGATGTGTTGGAGCACCGGTTCCCCCTGCTCCCGCTACAGCCCAGACTCTACCCCTGATTCTCTAGAACTCATGCTCGCACACAGACGCATCATCATCCCCTTGGCTTCGAGGCTTCTGATGAATAGTTTCCAGGCCCTCGCCAATGTGTCTCGTGCTTCTTTCCCAGCCGGCTCTGTTTATTTGTTTCAATCCCACTCCTGCCTGACCCACCATCATCCGCGGAGAGGGGACTAGGGAGAATGTCGGGAAGCTCCCCGCCCCCCACGTGCTCTGTGAAGCGAGGCACCGGCTGCGGCTTCCCCCTCCACGGCAGATACAGGGGGTGACTGACATTCTGCAGTAGATGCTCAGAGCGAGCAGGCGGGGAGGGCAGGCTGGCGTTGATGAATGACTGCAGCAGCACACGGTATTATTCAAATAATTCGGCAAGGACTCCGCAGGCCTGCACTGCCAAGCTACAGCAAAGAACCAATTTGCTACTGATGACTTCAGAAATGATTCTATTTATCAACAAAACCCGGAGAATGCCAGAGTGTCAATAACGGTCTTAACCTAGAGACCTGGCTAAGAGATAGTCCCTCTATGTCTGCTACCATCATCAGCAAAGTGAGTGATTGCTGTGATAGAGAACTTTAAAAGCCTCTTTCTCTCGAGGTGGAGGTAGGTAGGAGAGTGGGTAAGGAGGAATGAAGGGAGGGCAGGAGAGAGAGAGATGAATGGATGAATGAATGGATGGATGGATGGATGGATGGATGGATGGGTTTTTAAAATTCAGGTTTCATTTCCAGGAATGTCATAAAAGGTAGCATTTACTTCTTAGTCTTATTTGTAGATGACACAATTAAGGAACTATTACTTGAAGGGGCCTGTCTGAGCTCATGTCTACCAACGGAAATGGAGACAGAATTATAACTCATACATAAAGGTTCCCTTATTCTAGAGCAGTGTCTCTCAGTCAGGGGTGATTTTGACCCCGGGGGACATTTGGCACTTCTGGGAGACATTTCTGGTTCCTGATTGGAGGACAAAGGAGTGGGTGCTACTGGCACCTAGTGAGTAGAGACCAGAGATGCTGCTACACATCCTACAATGCACAGAACAGCCCCCAGGATGAAGAGCCATCTGGTCAAAACTCCTGGAGCACCAAGGTCTAGAAACCCTTTCCTAGAGACATAGTCAGTACACCTATGTCCTGCTGTGTTTTTAAAAACCAAGTTTTACTGGAACGCGGCCGTGCCGTATCATGTACGCTGTTTCTGGGGGTCAAAGGCAAGGCTGAGGGGTTGCGATAGAGACCGTGTGGTCCACAGAGCCTAAAGTGATTACGATCTGACCTTTCGCAGAACGTTGCTGATCTCTGTTCTGTAGCATAGGTCGTTATGGGAAGGAGGACAAAGAGCATCGCTTTCCTGCTGGCAGCAAAATTCACACAGGTTCTGAGGGAAATGGAAATGTGCGACGCACTGGTCCTGTGCAGCCAGGGTAAACAGGAAGGGCGGCTTACGGAGATAGGTACGATCTACTGGAAAGGGTTTCATGGAAGATCTTTCCATGGTCTCTTTGCCTGAATGTCACTCACACATTAAGTACATCAACCGTAAGCGTTCAGTGTCTACCTGATGGGGTATAAGTGTCTTCCTAAAGGACAGCCTCTGACTTTATAATTAGACACTGCCCTGGACCTACCAAGATGAAACGACCTGGAAATGGATGACAGTAGCTGTCATTTATTGAGCATCCCTATCTGCCAGGCACGGGGGAGGAAGGACAAAAGTCAGACCTCAACTTCACACTCGTCTTAGGCGAACACAGCAAGTGATGCTGTCCACCGTGCAGGGTGAATGTGGAGACAATCAGCAGTGCAGGCCGGTATACCTACTTCCTCTTTCACCTCTTCAGAATCTGAGTCTTTGTCCTCTTCTTCGTCATCACTGTCATCTTCGAAATCCTCTGGGTGGGGAAAAAGAGGGGAAGTAGGTGAGGCTTGGAATTGTCTCGGAACTGAATTCTCACCGCCCAACGGTTAGTACTTCTTCCTCTCAGAATGAAGGGGCTCGCTACTGAGTGCACAAGAGCCCGACACATCCTAATGCTTGCACAGCGGTACCCGAAATCACGTGCCCAGGTACGGGGGAGCACCATGTCCTGAAGCCTAAACTGCTGTCCCACACTGAACACAAAGTGAACGCAGAATAAAATGATGCAGAAATACCACCCAGCCCAGAAGTCTTTGCGCTGCTCACGCGGCGAAGATGAGAGATCACATACACACGAAAAGCGCTGTAAGTTAGACAGCAACGGGGTGGCTCCCTAACTTTGATACAAAGGAGAGCATTTAAAACTGAAGTCCATACATGCATTCAGTGCCATGACGGCAAGTTGCTGCCCACGGAAACTGTTTTGTGGAAGGAGGATGGACTGAGGACGCATTAGAATCTTCTGACAACGATCTTGGAGATTGGGCGATCGCGCTTTCAAATGCTCTAAGATGACTAGAATGAGGTTTTAAATAGCAAAAGTTTGATTTCAGTTTTACCCTTAGGGTGAATGAATTCCAGAACTGGTCAGTACAGTGGAGGGACTCAATCATGGGATGGTGAATAGATTTTTTTGTTTGTTTAATTAGCTGAGATCAGGCATTCAGAGCTATCAAGCAACGCGGCAACAGTTAATAATTACAGACAAAATAAGTGAGCTTGGTATTTTGTTCCGTCTGTATATGAAAAACTTGCTTTTTTGTACGTATTTCTAATTAGCTTGCTGGATAATCACGGCCTATGAAAGAACTGATTTTACTTTTCCCCACATTTTCCTGAAATACTGCCGAAATGTAAAAACGTCATCATAAAGCTCACAGTGACCCTCCTTCCTTTACCTTCAGCGAGAGCACGTGGAGGCTCAGAGGCGACGTCCCCAGGAACCGGAAAGGCGTTGGCACTGCTGGCTGTGACCAAAGGAAGTGGCCTCTTGGGGTAGCACCGCCTCAGGCTCTGCAGCGCCGG